CGGAAGGACTTCCTGGAGACGGCCGACTTCGAGCTGCTGCCGTGCGTGGAGGTCACCCCCGTCCTCGCGCCGCTGCTGACGGCCATCCATCGGTCCTGACGGCCCATCCCCGTCGAGTTTCCCCTCTGTCGTTCCGAACCCGTTTCCAATAAAGGCTTCTTCTTTTTCTTTTTTATTTCCTTGTTTGTTAGTTTTTATTTTCCCTGGGATTTTTTCTCCCTCTTGTCGTCCGTCAACTTGGAGTCGAGAAAGAAAGTAGGCGTTTTTTTTTTTTTTTTTACGTCTGCCGAGTGGACATCCATTTTTCATAATGTTTTTCACTCACTACACCATGTGGCGTGAAGTCGGTTCTCTCCTTCACGTGTGGCGGAGGAAATGAGAATGCAGGCTGCTGTTATTCATCTTATTGGCCGACAGGCAATTCAGGAGGGCAATTCAGTTCAGTGCTAACACGGTGAACGGTATGGGAAAGAAAACGAGGGCGAAAAAAAAAGAAGCAAATTGGGCAAGCACAGTCCAGTAGTGGGCCTCCTTCCAGTTAAGGAAACCCACGTTTTGTCACCTAATTGCAAAAAATGCCATCTCTTTCCGGTCTTCGACCATCAAATACCTCATTATAGGTACACAAAAGTGGCTCCCCTGGAAGACCCATAGTCAGCACCGTGGGGACAGCAACCGAAAAGATTTCTCCTTTTCTTGACCTCCACCTCGCCCCGCTTGTACCCCACTAACCATCATTCATCCGTGATACAAGTGATTTCTCATCAAATCTGGAAGACATCAATCGAGAAGGAAGGGTTGCCACCCGCTGAAGCTCTCGCCACATTAGATGTTCAAGCTCTGTATAAATCTATACCCCATAAGGAAGGTGTCGAGGCAAGCAGATACTTCCTCGATACCAGGACTGATCCCTTAACCCCAACCGACACTATCATAGACTTTCTCAGTCTCTGCCTGACTAACGACAAATTTCAGTTCATCGACAAACACTACCTTCAATCGAAAGGGACTGCTATGGCATCCAAATGCGGATACAGCGACGCCTTCCCCTTTCATGGGAAACTCCGAGAAAACCATCCTTAAGAATCCAACCTTCTCTTTCTCTCTCGAGCGTGGAGCTCTCGAGCGTGGAGCGATCGGGAAAGGCAGGAGAGGAGCAAGCCTCCTCGGAGCCATCCACGCAGGCGAAGAAGGTGAAGTTCCAGGACAGCCCGGATCCCCAGTCCGGCTCCCACCGACCGGGTTCGCCCCGCTCGGAGTCTCCCACCACGGAGAGGCAGAGGGAGGACGCCGCTGCCCCGGATGCCAGCCTCTCTCAGGAGGCCGAGGACGCCGGCTTCCTACCGGAGGTATCATATATTTCAAAAAACGTTCCCATTCGTTCGCGTAAGGTCAAAGTCGTGCTGGCAAGCCCAAGGTCGTACCGGAAAGACGGCATCTCGAGTACGCACCATGCTCTGTGAGACGCAATGGCTCGCCTGAACTTGTCGCATTCCACGACAGTGTTAGTTGGAAATCTATTTTTAAAAAAGTGAGGGCGAAAATTCGATTCGTCTGAAGTTGCTAAGGGTTCGAATGCGACTCCGACTCGGCCATCGACCGACATCAGGCCGACTTCATATTCGCACTGTTCGGCATGCTGGATGCTGCAACTGCATACTTTGCTCAAAAATCCAATGGACGTTGATAATGAATTTTTGAACATAGCATGTTGCAACATCCAGCATGCTGTACAGAACGAGTATGAACTCACCCTTCATCCAGGATTCCTTCATCCTCTCGGGAACAGACCCGAGACGCGATTGGTTTTACCTGTCATATTGCAACCTTTGAGGCATACGGAAACATTTTGCTAGGTCTTCGTACGTACGATATAGCTACATCGCATAAAAAGAACATTTGTAGAAAGCAGTGACGGCTGTTATAAACCCGTGAACCGTGACGAATCCAGGAGATCCGGGAGCTGCACGGAAGACTAAAGGAGGGTATCCGGGAGATCCTAACGGAAGGGGTAGAGGACGTCGGGGCCCAGCTGGAGGCGCTGAGGGCGGAGATCGCGATGAGGAAGGGGGGCCAGCCGCCCCTCAGGTTCCCGAGGAGCTTCGATAAGTCGCTCGTTCGGTACGAGCTGCCCATGGATCCGACGCTTCTGGCCGGTGAGTCGTGAGATTCTGGCTTTCTGTGGGATGTGGATCGGTCTCGGCCTCATCCTATTTCTCGCAGCAAATGATTGAAATTCCCAAAGCTTCACCCGGCAGCAAATGCATCACACAAAATGAGTTTAAAGATGGGGACGGCTAGTGGTCTCTCCTCCGCTCCAACCACCGGCACCGGTGTCGGCAGTCTTTCCTCTTCGCTGTTCGTTGCACCGCGTCTGCCGAGTGGACATCCATTTTTCATGAAATTTTTCACTCACAACACCATGTGGCATGAAGTCGGTTCTCTCCTTCACGCGTGGCGGAGGAAATGAGGATGCAGGCTGCTGTTATTCATCTCATTGGCCGACAGGCAATTCAGGAGGGCTATTCATTTCAGTGCTAACACAGTGAACAGTATGGGAAAGAAAACGAGGGCGAAAAAAAAAAGAAGCAAGTTGGGCAAGCCCAGTCCAGTAATGGGCCTCCTTCCAGTTAAGGAAACCCACATTTTGCCATCTCTATCCGGTCTTCGACCATCAAATACCTCATTATAGATACACAAAAGTGGCTCCCCTGGAAGACCCATAGTCGGCATCCTAGGGACAGCAACCGAAAAGCTTTCTCCTTTTCTTGACCTCCACCTCGCCCCGCTTGTACCCCACTTACCATCATTCATCCGTGATGCAAGTGATTTCTCATCACAACTGGAGGACATCAATCGAGAAGGAAGGGTTGCCACTCGCTGTAGCTCTCGCCACGATAGATGTTCAAGCTCTGAATAAATGTATACCCCATAACGAAGGTGTCGAGGCAAGCAGGTACTTCCTAGATACCAGGACTGATCCTTTAACCCCAACCGGCACATTCATAGACTTTCTCAGTCTCTGCCTGACTAACGACAAGTTTCAGTTCATCGACAAACGCTACCTTCAATTGAAAGGGACTGCTATGGCATCCTTTTTCATGTGAAACTTTGAGAAAACCATCCTGAAGAATCCCCCCTTCCAACCTTCTCTTTGGCTTCGTTTCTTAGACGACATTTTTATACTCTGGCGACACGGAAGGGACACGTTTCCTGATTTTATCGACACCCTGAACTCCGTTTACCCTACCATCAAATTCACCCACAAAGACACCCACGAGAACGTTGAGAATTTCCTGGACTGCCCCGTATTCATTAAAAATGAGATTTTATCGACAGATTTATACTCTAAACCGACACCCACTCCGACCTCCTTTTTTCGCCATCTCGCTGAAAAAGTCCCTTTCTTTCAGTCTCTCCACACGGCTTAGATAGATCTGTCCAGATGAGGACTCCTTCTCCGCATGCTTCGACTCTTTTCGACTATTTTCGAACAAACAAAAAAAACAAACTCGAACTGTCCTCCGTTTTCCAGACGTGAATCCGATGACGTACCTGACCCAGTACGGCTCGGTCGAGCCGTGCCTGAGAAGCCTCCATTCCACCGTGTACAAGCGGCACCGGGAACTCCAGTCCCCCAGTCGGCTCTCGCTCAAGGTAAGCCGAAAGGAGGGGTGATATCGGGTCGAGACGAGATGCCTCTTCTCACTGGGGGAATCTCGAGCTCACTGCATTTACTGTTCATCCGAGCGACCGGATTCGTCTCGACGTGGCCTCCATCGGTTTGGATCTTCGCGCGGGGTTCACTCGATTCCGATTTCCCGTCGGAGAACATCGTCCCAAATTCGCACTCGGCGTGAAGAAAAATGAAAACGATCTCACCGGTACACGGAAGGTGAAATCGGTCGGATCTCGTGCAGAACCTGGATCGAGCGATGTCGGAGGTGGTGGGGAAGGCGTGGCGGAAGGACCACACGGAGCGGCTGCTCGCCCTCGTGGACGTCGGAGGCGCGAGACGAGACGAAGCGGGAAGCGGACTGAACTTCCTGCAGTTCCACGCCCTCGCCGCCCTCGGGGAACGGCTGTTCTGCGGGTGCTACGCGGAGCCGAGGGAGGAGATCCGTCGGAAGGACTTCCTGGAGACGGCCGACTTCGAGCTGCTGCCGTGCGTGGAGGTCACCCCCGTCCTCGCGCCGCTGCTGACGGCCATCCATCGGTCCTGACGGCCCATCCCCGTCGAGTTTCCCCTCTGTCGTTCCGAACCCGTTTCCAATAAAGGCTTCTTTTTTTTTATTGGGATTTTTTTTTTCCCTACTGTAGTCTGTGGGCTTCGTGTGGAGAGAGATTGTGGACCGGTTTTTTTTTTTTTTTTCTTTGCGTGAATGGCATTTTCGCCTTGGGCGAAGAAGGCACAAAAAGGCCTGCGTTCTTGTCTCCGTCTCTCGTGGTTCGTCCGAGCTATTGTATTATATACTTTCGAGTCCTGTAGATTGTTTTCTCTCTCTCTAATATTTCCGGTAAGAAACGACGACGATTCGAGGAATTAATGGAAAGATGACGGGAGGAACGTTTCCGTCGTCATCGCTGGAATCGACACATCTGAGTCGCGAGTAAATCATTTTCAAGTTGTAAAATGACTCGTACCATATGCTGAAACCTTCGTTCTTGATGCGACCCTGAGGTTGCGCGGGAGTCTCCCGCTGCGATGCAATAAAATGGTTTAAATACGAGAGTTTGGTCGTCTGGGGAGAGGTTAAAAAGCATGAAGTTGCACCGAGTCTTGCGAGATTTGGGAGATACTGGGACTCGAAGCGAAGCAGAGTAACTGGAATTCATTAAGGAAGTCTTCGAGTTTGGACGACTGGCTAGGGAGGAACACCACGTGTCCTTCTTGGACTTGCTTGGTGCCGCTCAAACAATCTGGCGAGAACCGACATGGGTGATACGGCCATTGTTTTTCATAGGCCAGAGGCTGGTGGAACTTGCGACGTGGTTGGACCAGGTGGAGCAATCGGGACGTGGTTGGACCAGGTGGAGCAATCGGGACGTGGTTGGACCAGGTGGACCAATCGGGACGTGGTTGGACCAGGTGGAGCAATCGGGACGTGGTTGGACCAGGTGGACCAATCGGGACGTGGTTGGACCTGGTGGACCAATCGCGACGTGACCTGGTCGGGGGGGCCTATGCCTTGGATGGCATCCTGAAAAGCTTCTCTACCACTCCCTTCCTTGGTCGGTGACCGGAGCCAACCTCCATAATATGGAGATGCTACTGCGCAGGGCCGGTCTAAGGCATGGGTAACATGTTCCCCCGCACAGCGCAAATTCCCAAGGTGGCTAAAACGTGATCGAACCGATAGCGGAAGGAACATTTAGTTTCATTATTAATCCACAGGGATTGACCCTTTTCCATTTTCCCACTCCCTCTTCCCCCGCGTTCCGTTGGGGGGAGGAGGGGGGGGGGGCTGTCGGTGTCTGCACAGTGCGCCGAAGTAGGATGGGCTGGCCCTACCTACTACGTCGCCGGTTTGGAGGCCTTGGGAAAACTTACAGCTGTTCTCAATAGAAGAATGGCCAACGCCCCACACGGCGGATGGAAGACAGGTAGAAAGCTCAATCGCAAGTTCTCCACCAAAGAAAAGAGGAAGTACACGAAATCCACTTCTGTATGCCTTGTGTAGAGTAAAATATCCAGTGATGGGCCACGGCACATAAAAATTCCAACAGCTAAGCTTCCATGGCAAGCCTATCCCTGTTGTGACAGGCTAGCAGCATGCAAGCACGTACACATTTCAGAGGTGTTCATGCTAAAAATGCCTATTTTGAGTTTTCTTGCGACGTGGCGCATCACTGAGTATTTGCCCTTAACCCAGGCCCATTGCGTTGCGTGTTTTACCCTACTTCTCCGGACCCACCGCGTCCCAAGCCAAAAACCTGAGCCGCCACCGACACGGGGAAGTGGGAGCCGGAGCCATCTGGCGTCACGGGGTCGCCCTCGCTCCTCCGTTACTCCGCAGTGTCCGATGGGTCCGTGACGTCGCGCGAGATGAGCCGCACGGCCGGGGTGAGTCGTTGGGTGAAGTGCCTCGTCCGTCGTGGAGTGGGGACGGAGTCGTTCCGTGGTTGCTGCCGCGTCGTGTGGCTCTTGCAGTCGTGTTCGTAGGCCTAAGTTCTGTCATGGAACGCGCGTAGGCTTGTCGACGGCTGGTGCGTGTGGAAGACCAGCAGATTAAGAGCTTTCACTCTGAACGAGGTAATTTTATGTATTCAAGCTTGGAGATGCCCTACATTCTGCAACTGCATTAAAACCAGTAGGGCCTAGGCCTGATGGCTATCGCATCGTATTGCGCATTTTCTCGTTGCGTAAAATCGAGTCACCGAATGAAGTGCTGTTAAAATCTTAAAGAGATTGCGGCCTCTCGAAGCCTCGGCCAGCATTCAAACCCGTTTCTTCCCCAATGCAGTTGACTCCCCACTGAAACATCCGAAGAAGTAGGTGTAGGCTTCTCCTAGGCCTAAAACCCCCTTGCCAAGGACCAATAGACTCCAGATCATCTCCGTTTCCTATTGCTTAAGTGGGCCTCCATGCCATCTTTTTGGCTAAATCTGTTGGTTGCTGTTGTGTTGGCTCATTCTGAGAATCCCTGCAGTTAGCTGGTTCACCCCACCAGTCTTTTTTAACCAGTTGCAAAAATTGTTTTAATCAACTACCATGGTAGCTATGCAGAAAGACAAAAAAAGGACGATTGTCAATTTATGGTAAGAAATGAGCATTCTGCAGAATTTCATATAAATTCTTTTGTGTGCAAAAACCATGCCTTTTACTTTAAATGTATCAGGCCTACTTTCTTGGCCTACTCTCTTTTGTAATTTGTCTGAGCTATACTTCAAGCCCAGTAGATCACTTTTGCTGAAAAATATCTCACTTCAGCCATAGAATGAAGAAAGAAAACAAGTCCTGGCAAGAGAAGAGGAGAAAAGATTAAAGTGCAGGGTAAATATCTGGGTCACTCAGGAGCCTGCCCTACTTCAATAGGGCTTAAAATCGTGCCTTTCAGTTGCTTACAAGTAACTGCAGAGATCAGCTCAGGATATGTAAGAAACGAACAGGTCAATAGGCCGAGGCCTGTTCCACCTTGAAGAATTGCTTGAGTGATTTGGAACATTAAGAGATGGAAGTTTTTGTTCTGTTTTGATTCCAGTTTTGAACTGTTGGCCTGTAGGCCTATTGTATGCCAAGCCAGTGGCATAGAAGAGAAATTTATTTTTGGCAAGCCCGTTTCCATTCAGTCGGAGGTGTCATTCGGGCCTATTATGGCTTCTGCAATTGGGAGGGCCTCATTGAAGACATGGTGAGTTTTCATAGGAGGAAATTTTTTAGTTTCACTGTCTCCAACCAACTGTGCTTTCATCTGAAGAGGGTTTCTGCTTCCTGATGTTCTAATGGCTTCAGAAATGGAATTTTTTGCCTCAAGCCACACGTACTTGTTAGTGCGAACTCCCTCCATGGCTTATCAGAGTCAGGGTTTATCTGATGCTGTTGTTGAGATACGTGCATATGAGTCTCTGTTTCCAAATCATGCTATTTACATGTTTTGCTATGCTTTCTCTTGCAAAAATTCCACCCTATTTGAAGTCTGTATTTTTAATTCTCTGAACTCTCTCTGATGTTGAAACATATGTTTGCCATTGATGTACAACATAGGTCTCAACAGCAGGGATTAATTTGCCTTAGCAGTAGCAGCAGTAACAAAGGAATTGTTCTGATTCCAGGGATGAATCAAGCATAGTTATAACTGCAGTACAAAATCTCTTAAATGCCCCGAGTGTAAGCCTGAAGCAGGGTCGATATCTTCCTCCGTGCACCAAGGTCTGAGGTGTGCTGCCTATTGCCATCTAGAAATTGGGTGAATCCTGGGTTTATGAAGAGTATATGCTTCTCACTGTTGCTCATAATGAGGTTTTGTGTTCTCAGAAAGACAAAGCTCAGTAGAATACATAATTGCATTGATGGTTGCTGGTAGATACTCAATGATGTCACTGATTCCCCACCAGCTGTACCACTGAACTACCATCATATCACTTTCCTGTTTGCATTCTGCCTAACCTCAAGCAATTTTATTCATCTTATCGGGCAAGAGTCAATCATGGCATTAAGGGAGCAAGTATGCAGGTTTTTTTTTTTCCTTACAATAGTCAAACCCAATAAGCCCATATTATTTCTGAACCTGAGAATGTGGTAGTTCATGGATTGATCCTTTTTTATTTCTGCCTGTTTTGTGTATGGAGCAAGAATAAGGTGCAATCCAAGCCTTCCCTCTGCTTTTCCCATCTAATAGCCCCCAGTAGCATGGCTTGCATAAGATAGATGGATAGTAGAGGATAATGTGGGAAGCACTAACTGCAGTCAAAAGCAAGTCTGTTCCAGCACACACTGGCCTATACGTAAACCTCATCCCAATGTCAGAGCAGGAGACAGTGGAAAAAGAGAAATTGAGGTGCCTTCAACTTGAAGGCTCCAGAGAGACTGCTGTGTCAACATTTCATGCAGGCACTTTTCTTATCACACTGACCTTTCTGACAATAACATGATAGTGCATGCCCTAGAATCTTATCACCTCAAAATGATGGGGCATGGGAAAATCTGAAGGGTCTGATTGTAATGCTGATGGTAAATTAATTTTTATGTTCAAGGTCCTGTGAATTTTATTTAGCATGCTGGCTGGTAATAGCAGCATGCCCAGCTTTTTCTTACTCCCTTTGTTCTGATTTCCAAAAAGATTTTCGGATGAAAGATCACATGGACTTGATTTCATTCTCAAATCTACGGATGACACATCTCTGCCCCTCAATTGGTTGGTCAAGGGTAATAGGGAAAAATAGACAGTTGCAAGAAACCTTTGTTTCAGAGGATTTTGTACCAATCTTTTCACTTAGTTAACCCCATGAGGCATTCATATACAGTTATTCTTGTCTTTCCTGCAAGTCAGACCTCTTTGAACAAATTGCATGTTATGACCAAGAAAACATTTGTAAAATTTCAAGTCTCACATCCTGTCAGGTGAAGAAAAAAAAAAATCTTACTTCTCTCTTTTTCCTATTGACCTTGAAAATCCATGTAATCCCTGGTTCTCTGTCAGAATCTCATTTAAAAATGGATTCAGAGGCTTGCAGTGAGTTAAGTAGTTTCATCAAGAAGCCTTCTTTCTAATCAGAAAAGTACAGGCAGTAGAATTAGATCATTACCTTTTCCAGTCAGTATATCCATGTTATGTCAAACTTTTCAGTTGGCTTGCTGCATTATTTCTGTATTGCTAGTTAGCAAAGTATTTATTTGCTTCTTACTCTCTGTTGTCAATGCAGGCTGATTTCCAGGCATGTTGATTCAGCTGCCAAGTCTTTGACTTCATACATCATCCATGATACCCAGTTCAGGAAAAGCTCCTCTGGTAGCTACAGTGATGAGGGGAAGAGTACCAGTAGCTGGACTCTAGGTCGCCTCACAGTTGCTGGTGGGGTTGCTGCTGGCTTTGGGCTCCTTTATGGGTGGTCCAGAGAGCATGAAGGTATGTGTCCTGTTAGTCTATGTCAGAGGTTTCCAAACTTTGAGTTGTAACCTCCAGGGAGTTCCCAAAGTCCAAGGCAGGTCATTAGGAAGGCCATTTTCATGAAAAGTTGGTAACCACTAGACCATGGGTGTTGTTGCTTTGACATATACATGATTTTGTGGTAAAAAGGTAATATGAAATTTGAAGTATTTTCATATCCAGTTGATATTTCTAGAGAGGCAAGGGTAGCTTGTCAATTACCAGAACTCAGCATATTTTAATTAACCTTTTCACCTGAATTCTGCAATGGATACTTCTATTTAATTTAGGAAATATTCACCTTGAGTGAGAACAAGATATGCCTTGATATTTTATAGGATATTTGGCAGAGATCAGGACAATCCCTTGTACGTAGCTGATACAATACCAAAGCTATCAATAGCTTACATGGAAGACTGGGACCCAGACTCGAGGGATGGAGACCATGGAGAAGGATGTTACCAGTGTGTAAAGATATAACTAGCAAGACTATATAGGTTAGGTAAACATAGTGTATGCTCTCTAGTATGTGCTCTCTCTATTTATCTCTTTTGTTTATCAGTGGCCCATGTCAGGGAGTCCCATATTACATACATATAGATATGTAAAAGTACAATTACCATTTGTAATCATGGAGAAAGTGAATGCAAAAGAATTCCAATGAGCCATGCTCATTATGCACAGAAACATGTTTGGAGGGCATTGTGTAGGAGGAGCTTTTTCTGTAAATCATCTGCCATTTACAGTTATGTTTAATAGATTTTATCACCAGAGAATGTAGAATGGGAAAGGAAATACAATTCTTTTACAGTATCCATATTAAGGTCATGTTCAAATAGCTTGAAGATAAAAGAAAGATTTTTTTAATAAGGAGTTTTAGTTACCTGTTCATGAGATGACAGTAATGATTGGATGTAGAATTGGTGAAATCAGTTATGATGTTATGAGCAGATGTGTAAAGTATGAGAAAGACATCCTTGACATGGAAGGCTCCCTTTTAGCCAATCTCTTAAGAACATACTCCCAAGGTGAGTATTGATCAGGAGCAACTTTAAAGTCATGTGACCTTTGACAGTAGGGCAAATTGTTTGTATGGATAGATTCTGTTTCCTTTGAGTAGCTTCCCTTTAATGCCTTGAGCAGGTAGGAATGGAGTTGCATGAAAAGATTTATTTTCCATGCTGTAGCAATTGCTACTCAATCCTCTTCGTAGATTCTATCTGGCACTCTCATTTGGGTTTTTTATTAGATGAGATCAACCCCTGCATCATTCCATATGCACATCATGCCATCACAGCAATAACAAATAGAAAATTCCTCTGCCGTTCCATTTTATTCGTTGTACTTGAAATGAACAATTAATTAAGTTTGAATAAGGAAGACTTTGTTTTAATTTCAGGTCAAGCATATGGATTATAATTTTTGGATATTACTTTCAAAAGTATTTTTACTTTCAAAAGTATTTTTAGTGTCTGTTGAGTATTGGCTAGACTTCAGTATTGTTGCATCTCTAGTGGAAAGGGTAGTTTTAGCTTTAGTAAAAAGGAGCTAGAATCAAAATTCTCCAGTGAGCCTCAGATTAAAATTTTTTTTGTTCCTTCATAAAATGAAAGTTGATCATTTTCAGCCCTATCTCACCTGTTTTGCAAAATAATCTCAAGGGGACATAAATAAGGTAGTTGCTGTTGTTGGAGACTAAAACTTTCATGAAAGTTCAGGGAAACTGTCTGTATCAGCAAAATTACCTATGGTACTATTGCATCTATTTGTCTTTTTCAGGTGTTCAGGCAGCAACAGTGGAAGAAGGTGTATTTGTGAAAGGCCTCCCAAATTATTCATTGGATGAGGTGAGCAAGCATAGTACAGAGTCCAGTGCATGGATGACGTACAAGAGGGGTGTATACGATGTCACCGAGTTCATCAAGCACCATCCTGGTGGGTTGCATTCATCCCTGAGTTAATATGATTTGGAGGGAAAAAATCTTGGAAGTAGAGGTAAAAGTTATGTGGTTCCATCTTCAGGTGGGAAGACCATCATGCTGGGTGTTGGAGGGGCTGCTGATCCCTTTTGGCATCTGTATGCAGTGCACAAGGAACCACATGTCCTTAAACTTCTTTCCCAGTACAGGATAGGTATGAGTTGATTCTGTTTGGAAAATTGCATAGTGAATCAACTATGGGATCTGTATGTTCAGTCAGTGTGTTTGCAGTACTTCAGGTTGTAACTATTTTATTGCTGAGGATACAATTTTTTTTAGGGTGGAAGTTGAGCATTGGATTGTTGAATCCTCTTTCACATTGAGGTGGTTGAAACTAATAATTTGCTTTGGGTATGTATTGGGTGTTTCAAGGAACCTTCTCTGTTCTTTTTCTATGGGGATGTTCCTTGTACTCATTGCTTTGTCTCGCAAGTAAAATTTGCAATATTGAGTACGAGCCTCACTTCTAATCAGTTACTTCTAGTCCATGTTTCACTGGCCAAGTACAGTAGAACTTAGTCACTACAAATTTGCAAGTGAAGGAAGTCAAACTTTTTGCAAATTTCAGCTAAAAGCTGCGATGACTCTTTTCCTTTTTCTGGACTTCCCACAGCCTCTGTGCAAATCCTTGCAGAGACATGGTGAAGCTTAGCAACTGGGATGCCATGCCACTGGATGAGAGCAAATTGCAATAGCATGCAAGGCATCTGGCCAAGAACAACTATCAGGTCAGATATAAAATAATAGGTTTTTCAAGAAATTGGTTGAGTTTAGCTTCTTTTTAGGATTCCCTACATTGGCATACATTTGCTCTACATAGTGAAGGGAAATGGTCAACAAAAGCAGTACTAATTTTTTTCATACTAGTGACTAAATTCTATCTGGCAGCATCAACAGTAGATATAATGCTGTTTCATATCCCCATAGGAAAAGGATGAAGCCCTTAATTGAAATGCCCTTTACACAGTAAACTGTCAGTGATAAGAAGTCTGTATCCTTCATCGCCGGTAGATGTTCCATTTGCATTTTACCATGGCTCAAGACTGTGCCTTCATTTTCATACAGAGAATAATGTTATTAATAAATGGTAATAGGGAATTTGGAAGAGGATGATGTGGAACATCAGACAAAGAACATGGATGATCCGTATGCCAATGAGCCCAAGAGGCATCCTGCACTCAAGCCCACATCTCAGAAGCCATTCAATGCTGAACCACCTGCTGCACTCCTTGTTGCTAACTTTCACACGCCCAAGTAAGTACAGGCCTATAATTTATTTTGGCACGTTTGAGGCAGGGCGAAGAAGCTTGAAAAGCAATATTGTGTGTGCAGTGAGTTGTTTTACGTGAGGAATCATCTGCCAGTTCCTGAAGTGGATGAAAAGGATTATTCACTGACTCTAGAGGGAGAAGGGGTGAAAACATTAACACTCACCCTAGATGAACTGAAAAAGAAATTCCCAAAATACAAGCTGTCAGCTGCCATTCAGTGTGCTGGAAATCGGAGGAGTGAGCTCTCTAAGGTTCCCATCTTCAAATTTCTTCAACCTAATATATTTTCTTTCCCTTGCTGAAGGAATTTCCAAACCTATGCAGTCTGTTGGTTCCTAGGATATACTTTTCTCGTGGGTTTTTGGGATAGGTCAAACCAGTGAAGGGATTGAATTGGGAAGGGGCAGCCATCGGGAATGCTGAATGGGCAGGGGCACGTCTCTCTGATGTCCTCAAGGCTGCTGGTTTCCATGAAGAAAATTGCAAGGCAGAACATGTTCAAGTAAGTTTCTCATTCCATATGTTGCTCTCCCTTCATGAGAGCCATTAGTATCCCAGTGGATGTGAAGTAAAACTGCTCTGCAATGTAGTGCCAGTAGACTATGAAAATTAATCCATCATTGAGTTCATGACGATGATGTCGCCATATTTGTTACACCCTGAATACTATGAATTAGAATTAGAGTTGGGTTTACTTATCAGTTTGAAGGGCTTGACCTGGATGCAACTGGAAGCCCCTATGGAGCCTCAGTCCCAGCTGAGAGGGCCCTTGACCCCAAATCGGAGGTTCTTTTGGCTTATGAGATGAATGGGGAGCCTCTTTCACGTGATCATGGATTTCCAGTTCGGGTCATCATCCCTGGTGTTGTTGGTGCTCGCAGTGTCAAGTGGCTATGTGAGTTTCATATCTTCTCTGTGGCCTGAGGGGGTATTGATCGATCTGTAGAATATATCAATATTATTGAAAAGCAACTACACGGATAAACAGTAATATAGCTTAGATGCATCATATACCAAGTTGGGATGTGAAAAATCTGATTTCACATTGACTTGGTTTTCTCTTTCCTGACCCTTTCCATCCCTTATTTCTATTGCCTAATTTGGCTTCCCATTATCTGTCTCTTTTATTATGTGTGTTGCATAGTAAAGAAGCCAAGATAACATCCATACCTGCATTTTCATAACTTATTGATGAGTATCATGAGATTTGTTTCATTGTCCCTGCTGAATCTAGAAATATATGCTCTTGAATAGCCTAAAAAGGGCTCTGACTTTAATATTAATAAAAGACCTGCATTTTAAAAAGATTGCATTGAAAAATATAAGAGATAGAAATAGATTTGACACATGGGAAAAGCAGATCCTTCCCTCTCTGAAACCATGGAAGAGTGGCTTAAAATTTCCTAGACCGATTACCTGTGTGGTGAGAAGTGACACTTCATGATTTCTCCACATGCACTCAAAGAGGAGGAAAAATGGGTTATGTTTTCAGTTGGTAAGGAAAGGTATAAGTATCGACACCATTATTATTGTCATAAAGTATCATCTTGCTGTACCCTCCTAATTCCCCAACACTGATTTGTTACTGCTTTTTAATTGTTGAGGTGTTATTTGCTTGTAGAGTATGAAATGTTCCTCCAAAACTGATGTTGCTCAGCCCTAGGTACAGAGACAGTTCGAATCCCAATGCTTTTATATGGAAGCCTTGGTTTGTTCCCTCTTACAGCAAATATCATTTTGTCTAAAGAAGAGAGTACATCTCACTGGCAACAAAATGACTACAAAGGATTCTGCCCATCTGTGGACTGGGATACCGTGGACTTCAAGTCTGCTCCTGCCATTCAGGAACTCCCTGTCATGTCGCTCATCTGCGAGCCAGGGAATGGCTGGAGGGTCAAGGCCAAGGATGGCAAGATTGCTGTCAAAGGTAAGTTCTGACAACTTCACCCACTTGAGAAGACATGAGAGCGAAACAATCACCTGGGATGCCGGCAGGGTATGCATGGAGCGGAGGAGGACGGAAGATCGTGCGTGTCGACGTGACGGGAGACCAGGGGAAGACATGGCATGTGGCAAAGTTGCAGCAGGAGGATAAGAAGCACGGGAGGCACTGGGCATGGACCCTGTGGACGGTCGAGATCCCCGTGGATCCCAAGGGGAAGCAGACTGAGATCTGGGCCAAGGCTGTCGACTCTTCCTACAACACCCAACCGGAGAGCAGCGCTCACATCTGGAACCTTCGTGGCGTCCTCAGCAATGCCTATCATAAGGTCATTGTCAATCTCATCCAGTGAATCCATCCTGCTCTTCTGCTCTCAACAGTTTCCATGTTCCACTTACTTTCCTTGATATTGTGTAAATTATTTTTTGAGCATGTTACATGCTCAACAAATGTTTGTAGTGATCTGGTTGAATTTGGAGCTTCTCAAGTCATGGCTGTTTCTCATTGCAAACAATATTAATCTGATGCCCTTCAAAGCCTTGAATATTTATGAATCAATGGAGCATTTTTCAATGAAAAATGAGGACTAAACCAGGATGATTTGGCCAATCATGTTGGAAAGGTTTGCAAACTGATTTTTCAGATCTAGTTTATGGATGCAAAGCAAATCTTGCCAATGTTTCATGTCAAAACACTGCTTAATTTCATTTTTTCAAGATAGCTGGAGTGATTGTTGTTCCTGCAAGATAACTTTTTGCCATATTTGTTGAACAACTTATACTGAAAGCTGCTCCATCATGTCCTATTTCAACTCTGTTCCCTTCTTGGGTATATTTTTATATCACTCTTTGTAACAGGTCTTCCTTCTATTATTTCTCTCTTCATATTTCTTGTTGACTTTGGCACTTGGAAAGCTCAAATCTTACAATATATTTTTGCTTACATTTCTTAAGAAACTGTTACAAGAAGAAAAAACATGTTGGTAACAGTGGAACTTCAAATCTGATTGGTGTAATACTGTGATAGAGAGGGCAATGTGCATTGGTGATGGTATAATTTTCATCTCGGGGGGGGGGGGGGGGCCACAATACAGAATTACCTCAATTGTTATATTGTAGTATTGTTTTTAGTTTGAAATTGAATTAGATTTAGTTGCTTGGAATTCTCAATGTCTTGAATTCTTACCCTCCTTTTTGATTGTTCTTGCTTTGATATCATGCATTCCTGGTGAAATTCTGCTTCATGTATTGCAGATGGCTCTCACAAAAATACAGTGTTATTTTTGCCATCCGTCCATGTTTTCATTCCTGGGTTTGAATGGATTGCAGTCTGGGCAGAGCATTTGGTCAAACATGTGTCATGACCAACTGCTTGGATGGTCCACTTGCCACTTGTATTGCAGAAATAATTCTGGGAAGGATTGGGAGCTGATGGGGATGATATCACTTAGTGTGTTGGTAATGTGTGTGTGGATGTTAATTGAAGGTATGAATGTGGTCCGATCTGTCTTTGCTGCAGGCCTTGTTCGCTCGTCGATTGTGCAAAAGGTGAGCACTTTGCTCTGTGATGCCCAAGGGATTGTGACCTGCCCTTTCTACTGCTCATGATTGCATTATTTGCTTGTTTGATTGCTAACCCCCTTTGGAAATATAAAGCATTGCTCATTGTCATCCAAATACAGCTGATTTAGAAATGCTCAAGAGGACATCAGCATTTTTCCTCTATGCCATAAGCCCTGTGATGTTGCTATGCCGATAACACAAATGGTTTTAACTAAATCCTCTCTGGATACTGCCTCCATTAGCAATAGGATGAGTTTGTTTGTCTCATGATGAGATGTTAAAGGTTTTTTTTGCCTGTATGCAGCTGTGAATTTACTATATCTCACCTATAACTTCTGTCCATCCAAACATAAAAAGTGATGGGGAGATGCTATAATGTTGCAGTCATGTGTTTGTCTTGAGTATCCTTTCAAATTGTTGAGTAATTGCTCAGTTTTGGATTTGAAATTAAAGTCCAGAGCAGGGATTTTCTTCACACAGACCAGTAATCAGTAAGCCTATTTGAAGTAAGGAATTCAGAACTTGCTTCCAAGAGGAGAGACTAGATTGTTTTATTTGTTTTATTGTGAGGCTTAATGGGAATAGCACACGCTTCAGTGATTCATGGTGCAAAATGCCCAAGCCCTAGAGAGTTACCTAGCTGAACAGCTGCAATTTCAGCTGTGAAAATGCTCACTGGTATTAATGTTCCTCGTTTTCTTGGAAGAGTGAAACTTCATGAGCCATAAAGTCGAAGGATATATGTTGATCCAGCATATACACTGAAAGCCAGTCATTTCTGTAGCTTCTTTTACAAATTTGGAAAAGTCTCTGGGCATTGCATAGAAAATAATTTGGAGCACATTCCTGAAGGCATCTGATCATAAACCAAGTGCCTGATTGTCTCACAATTACATGGCAACAACCCTGCACTTTGAGGGAAGCTCTGGATAAAAGTCTTATTTGTTACAAAAATACCCCAATGGCAGGTCAGATCTGGCCAGTGGGCTGCCAGTTTTACAACCTAGGTTTATATTGATCAGACAACTAATGGGGATACTTTCTAGGATGGGAACCCTTTGCAGGATGTGAGCTAACACTACCCTAACTTTTCCAAGTATGAATTGCTAGATTAGAAGGGTAATATCCTTCTCATTGATTGCTCTTCATTTTGCATGCATGAGTTTTAGTTAGTGCTTCTTTCTGGCTGAATCATGAAAGGTGCATTTATATGGAGAAGAAATATTCTGCTAAGAGTGGGTGCATGGAAATGGAATGTGGACAGATTTATGCTCTTTGTTGTTGGCCTAGTTGTGTCACTTTCTCATTCTATTGTGCAGGCCCAGATAGTGAAAATGAGTAGCAAATCAGCTGAAACCATTTATGAATTCAAAGCCAATGACATTGATGGCAAGGAGGTCTCACTCGAGAAGTACAGGTAATTGCACTCCAATTTCAGTCTGCACCATCTCATGCTCGGTATAGGATCTAAACTGATGGATTTGTGGATCTGTCTCCAGAGGCCATGTGTGCATCATAGTCAATGTGGCATCCAAGTGAGGCAAGACCCAGGTGAATTACACCCAGCTGGTAGAACTCTACAAGAAGTATGCTACCAGCTCGGGTCTTCGCATTCTTGCCTTCCCTTGTAATCAGTTTGGCGGACAGGTGAATTTCACTGTTCCTCTGTTCTTGCAAATTTTCAGTATTGGGAATTAGTTGTTTAACAACAGAAAATTGTCAACTAGGAACCTGGAACCAACGCCGAGATCAAAGAGTTTGCCGCCAAGTATGGAGTGGAGTTTGACATGTTTGAGAAGATTAAGGTCAATGGGGATGATGCCCATGAGTTGTGGAAGTTCTTGAAGAAGAAGCAGGGTGGGACACTTGGCAGGTGAGCCTCTAATGGGTTGGGTTCGTAGGTTCATAGATGACATTTAGCTTCAGAAAGACCTGTGCCAGTCTTGTGCAGTTTTGCGTAAATGAATGAAGCTCCTCTCAATAGAATCAAGACAAAGTGAACTCTGAAAGATGATAAAGAAAGCAGCCAGAGCATCATCAAGCCAAAAATGTAAAATACAATATCCAGTCTTATCCTACCTCTTCATGGAGCACCTTTCTGTGAAGATAATAGTTATCCTGCAGGTTCTAATATACTTGTAGCAATACACTAAGTGCCCTTCTCAGTGAAGCAGTATCACAATAGAAACAGTGAAGATGCAGTTAATATGTTGTGTTCAGTTTGTAGCAAATTTTGAATCCCAATTTATCAATATTTTTGGGCTCTTCCAGTCCATAGCAAGAACTTAATGCAGGTTCAGACTGAGCTACCTGTTGTAATTGTCTTCACAATCACTCTCGAGAATGGAGAGCAGCATTGACTTCTTTGGTTATGTGAGATCAAGGATAGTGCTAAATATTGGCATGTCTCTTGTTCTGTGAAACTTCTTCAGCAAAAAGTTAGTGGACTCTGAAGTCGTTTAGAATAGCCAACTTTTTCTTGCAAGCAGAAAGATGACTAAATTATTTGGACATAGAAAGAGTAAAGTCTTAGTTTTCTCTTGGTTTAAAAGTTTAGCCTTGTTTGTGTGCCAAGCTATAGCATTTCAAAGATTGTGTATTTTGTAATATTTGTGGAACTTCAAGTGGCTTGGTGACCTTATTGCAGAAATTTAATTAGACAAAACTTTTCCTTTAATTTTTTTTGTAGTTTTTGAAATTCACATGCCAAATTTTGTGTTGATTCAGTTTTATTGTAATGATGTGGAAAGCAAAAGCAAAAAAATCCTGTGAGCCATGTTCATAATTTAACAAAATAAGGAAATGATCTGCTACCGTCTTTTCTTTTTTTTAGCTTCATAAAGTGGAATTTCACCAAATTCCTTATCAACAAGCAAGGCATACCAGTCAGCAGACATGGCCCTGATGTGGATCCTCTGGTGAGTGCTATTACTATCCCAAATAACTAGCTTAAAAAAAAAAGAAAATTTAATGTATACAGATTACATAAAATGTTTAATAATGCTTTAAAAAATTGTGGTTCATTATGTATTTTTCAATAATCTTTTGAATTTTTTTTCAAAGCTTTGGTAGAAAGATGACATTATTTTAAATGTTCTTTTGAATAAATCCCACTTATGTAGGATGTGCACAAATCAAGTAGATGAAGCCTGAACTGATGTGAACCAATGGAACAGAAAAATATTAACTGAAGAGTGTCAGTTTCATGATCCCAGACATTTGCAGTTAGTAAAGCAAATTTAAAGCAAACATCAACACCTTTGCAACAAATGGCATTAATTTCTTTTTTCACACAACTGCCATAATTTTCAGTATAGTTATCCTTGTGGATCAGGCAAACTTAAGGAACCATTTTAATCATTTCCAAGTTCATCACTGCAATTTGCTGTCTCAAGTTTTCCTGTAGGATTTTTTTTTCATTACCTTCAAATTTTTAGGTTTTATAAATGGTTCTTTAATTGTATATTTGTCTTCCACTTGGTTGAACAGTCTGTTTATGATTTTGGACTTGATTTGTTTACTTCCTGTAAGCTACAGATGAGTAAAATTTGTTCCAACAAGCAAAGTGGAGAAAAACACTAATTTCTACCAAAATGCAATATCTCCTTGATTAATGAAAAGTGTCTAAAGAACCACATGGTTCCCAAGTGATGTGTTATAACACCATGGTGCTCCATGACTGGGCTCCAATTTGCCATGGGATTTGTGGGTTGACTGGAAAAGAGTCTTAAACTTTCATTGGCACAGTCATGGGAACTTGATTCTTCTCTTGCCAGGTTATTAGACCTGACTTAACCCACACATTGCTGAAACTAAGAGTAGAAAGTTCTTCTTCCCCAGAATTGTCCCTCATTCAATCAGTTTTTTTATTTATGCAGGCAGAATTCAAAACTGTAGCAATGTATCTTATCCTGTGGTTGACAATTAAATTCCTGACTCACTCGAACAAAGGTTAAGGAGGGGCGATTCATCCAGGCTTTCAAGATAATTAAAGGAATAGATAATGTCGAGTGTGGTAGGTTTTTCCAGTTTGATGACAGCAAGAGAACGAGAGGCAACTAACTTAATTTGCGCAAAACGCAGGTGCAGCTCAGGTCGAGACAGGAATTCTTTACTTGCCGAGTGGTGAACGCGTGGAATGGGCTAGATGACGAGGTAGTGGCTGCCCCTTCTGTGACTGTCTTTTAGAAGAAACTAGATGCTTTCATGAACAGGCAAAAAGGTGGGGGCAATGTTGACGTTAGGTACTAGACAGTAAGCAACTAGGATAGTCAAATAACAAAAAAAGCAAAACAAAAAAATACAAAAATATATAGCTTGAAGAGGGTTAGGTCTACCCTAAAATTAAGGAACGCTCGACCTCGAAATGTGGTATCGAAATGGGCAAAATCGCCTCTTGATATCACTATCTTGAATCTTGAACTGGAAACTTGTGCTAGAAGACTAACATTTGTGAGACGCACGGACATCACGGGTGCGCATTTAGATCACTTCAAAATGGCGACTCGTCTAGACACATGGTCTCGAGAAGAGGTCCGTATTGTTATACGATTTCTTTGGGCAAAACATACATCTGTAGCTGAAATTCATCGGCAGCTTATTGAAGTGTATGGTGACAGTGTAATGATCCGTTAAAACGTCGCAATGTGGTGTAGAGAGTTTGCTGAAGGGAGAGTCGGTGTTTCTGACGATGAGAGAAATGGCAGGTCAAGCACCTCAAACACGGAATGCATTGCAGCACGAATTGATGAGCTGATTCGTGATAACAGAAGATTGGCTTTACGTTACATTTCCTTCGAGTTAGGTATTGAGTATGGTGTAGTGCATGGCATTGTTCACAACGAACTGCACTACCGGAAATTTTGTGCTCGCTGGGTGCCGAGTATGCTTACGGGCGATCTAAAATCACGCCGCATGATGACCACCCTTTCGACTCTACAGCAATATGCAAAGGAGGGAAATGACTTCCTCGGCAGCATCTTTACTGTCGACGACCAAAGCGACCAAGACGTCTCTCCAAGGGTGTTGTGCTCACTACCGTCTCGGGCACCTGTGCAACGTCTCAGAATGGGTTTCTCGACCAATTGTCCGAATTCCCAGGGCTTTTCCTCTGGTATCTGTCTAAAATCCCTAGTCCCGTTTAAAACCAAAATTTCACGAACCAGAGTGCAGGAATAAATAACTGTTTTCCAAAACTTGTCCCTCATAGCCCCATCCGTCTCACGTTCATGAAAAATTGAAGACAAGTGTTTCACACTTTCAAAAAACTCTCGTGAGCAAGTTCACACTTATTTATTTATTATTACATTTCCAGACCTGACTGCAAATGGACAACTGATTCAGAAACAGGGAGGGAAATGTAGTCCTTTGAAACACGTCCGTTGACTTGAAGTCCATTGAGCTCGTGACTCTCTAGCCTTCATGCGCTTCCTCGTAGTCCTTCAGTCCTTAGCTTCATCCATTTTACCCATGTCCTCCGGACAACACTGAAGGCGCCTGACCTACGTCTCCACGCTTCTTCATGATCCATTCACACCATGTAGGGTACTTCGTCTCCATACCATGCAAACCTTTCAAATAAAAAAGCGAGAGAAAACATCGTGAGTCTCCATATTTCCCAGAGAGATACGAGATATGGAACTATTCCTAGCGTTCATATTTTTTTTGCGAAGCTTTCCTTTCGAATGCCGCTATGGCGCATGTCAAATCGGATTTTGTACAGAGGATTGCGATTCACGGACATTTGGGAAACTGCCCGATAGCATTATTCTTTCTTACACATTGAGGACCGGCACTGTGCACTGTACGTGGTATGACAACCTTCAGAGGCATATTCATGGGGTTCAGGAGCGAAACACTTTCGCGTACAATAAAAATCTCAGAATCTAATGGTACACAGAATCACAGATAGCGTTAAACGACACCATACATGAAAACACAAATTTGTTTCTCCCGTCCTCCATGTGAATAAAACTTCCCATGCTTACCTATTCGTGGCAGTGGAGAAGCCGGGATGTGTCCGCTAGTTTCAATTACTTCACAGTGAAGCCATATCTGTTCTTCCTCTGTTGTGCTCGTCCTTCCATGAGCCTTCTATTTCTTTCCAGGGAATTCAGGGGGCTACATGTTAAGCAACGCGAAAATATCTACGTTGACTCATGCTAACGGGCATATATAATTTGCATGGTGGCCGACTGGCATGCGCATAACATGGAGCTGTCAACATTTTACATGTCCGGCATATATTTGTGTATGGCGGAAAATGCGAAATCGTCCAAAAACAGGCATGCGTCTACGCCTTAACCCTTTACTAAAGTTTAGCTTCCCAAGTGTCCGCCAGTCTCGCTGGAGACGTAACGTGATGAGAAAATACACCCTCCAGAAAAGTTTCCAGCGGAGAACTACTCCGAAAATAGAATATTACCTTATCTATGCATCACAGAGCCATTTTCGTACTTTCATTTTCTCATGACATTCAGAACATGATTACAACTTGTTCCATTCGCTCAAGCTTCATTATTGTTTAGATATACATGTATTAGAATGCAATGGATGTGACTCTGTAATTACCATTCAAATATTATTTTAAATACCTTGACTTCCTTCATTTACAAAATTGCATTTCGGTTATAGATGACAATTGAGCTCGCTTACAAACTTACCAAATAATATGGACGTTTGGTTATTAAACCGCTGACCGTGTTCTTGTCCCTCCAATTGGTTATACTTCAATTGTATTACTTGCAAAACTAAACCAATATTAAAGGCAAAAGTTACAGTGATTTACTATATATCAATCGATATCCATTACTACAGTCAAAATTTCTCAAGTGGAATGTTATTTTCCCATTCTATTTACTAGAAATGAAACCCCTTA